TATCTACGTTGTATCGGTCTTGCCTCTATATTTATATTTCATATTCGTTATTTTGGGCCGATCAGATCATCGCTGATCCAACGTACAAGAGTAAGAGTATCGTCCACGGTTGCCTGCTGAACATTTCACACTTAAAACAGAACATTCCAATTTCTGAGGACGAGACTTTTTGACAAATGTCAGTGCGCGTGAAAGGTGTCATAATTGCATATCCCGTGACTAGATGAACACCTCTTTCAATATAATGAGAAAGGTGAGGAAACTATGACCTGAGGATACGTACGTTACCTAAATAAGTTCTAGTATTTGATTAGAGATAGGATTTACCTGAGCAAAAGTGCCATCCATCTCCAAGGTGTCCAGACTTACAGCTGCAGTCAAATGATCCAGCGATGTTTGCACAATCGGCAGCGAAGTGACACCCATGGCTATCGTCGTTACACTCATCGATGTCTTAAAAGAATACAAGCGAAAAGAAAAAAGGTAAGGCTCGAAACACTCTTAAGGCAAGCTATACCTTACGTGATATTCCAGATAACGAAGAAGATAGGAAGAATCGTGTTTCTGCAATGTACATTCGTCAACATCTAAGATTGATTAAGCTCATCAATCACCCACATTTTGTTCACGCACGTTTTTTACCATCGCTTATGTATCATGATTGTCTCGTCTTTTTTTCCAATGTTCATGCGTTCGAAACGTATTTCACCCTTTCGAAACTGCAGCCCTTTCAAACGTAGGCTCAGGATCATCTCTCTGAGTCTGGGAGTCAATAGTTTCTCAGCGGAGCAGTCATTATTACGTCAGGGCAACGAAATGGGACTGCATTACCCTTACCATGAAAGCTTGGAAAAACTCACCTGACAGGACAAAGTTTTGAATCCTCACGTGGCCAGGAGAAGAATCAAATCCATGCCAATTCTGAAGAAATAATAATCATGAAGACATGGACATTTCTTGAAATGAATTAAAATGTATGGCAAAAAATCGAGTTCGCAGGGAAGCTATCGTTATTGGCCCCATGCTCGGGTAATTGGGAAAAGGAATAATTAATCTAAGGAAAGCGAAGCCAGGTACTCATCAATCAAACCTGTACAAATGAGTCCATTTCTAGTGTATCCCTCTTTGCAAGTACATGTAAAAGAGCCATAAGTGTTTACACAGTGCGTATTTACGTCACAGGGAAAGTTATCACCATTGCATTCATCGATAACTGGAAGAGAGCAAGACGAGCTTTAGGTGGTTAATGAAAAACATTTAACTCCTTATCAATAACAGTTTTTTTCAAAGAAGTTTTTTAACAATCAGTGGCAGCTGACCAGATAATACATGTACTAACCTTTCTTTTTCGATTTGTAAGACCTACTGTCAAAACCATTGTTGCTGGTTTACATGTGTGTGTCTGGTTTCTTTCGTCGTTACAGTCTCTTTCACTGTTTAAAATTCTCACCTTGGCAAGTTTCTCCATCGCCGTTAAATCCAAGTTTACATGAGAACTTATATGAACCCAAATTATTGATACATCTGTGCTCTACGAAACAATCGTGGTTTCCTGATATGCATTCATCAACATTTATACACAATTAAAGAAGAAAACAATCGAAGGTTAAGAACCCTCGTTGATGGGATATTTCGTCCAACTCTATAAAAGTGGTGGCTCGAAACGTCAGCTTTTGTAATCGTTACGGTGGCCAATTCACCATTTCAACTTTGTTGATATATCCAAATTATTCTATAAAAGTGGCCTTATGAATTTTCTTCTTTCATGCTCGCTCCTTTGCCTGCCTGCTCATCTCCCCTTCTACCCATCTTTTAAGTCAGAAGTATTTTGCCTGTTATCCGAGGTCATCATTTTATCGTAAGAAATTTTCTTTCTCACCTGTCTCGCACTGAACTCCTTGATATCCAGTAGGACATAGACAGCGGTATCCATGGTCACCAAATCCCGCTTGACATGTGGCGTGATTAGCACACGGGTTGCTCTCACAATAGTTCTGAAAAGATAAGAATAAAATGGACCAATGTACAAAATGAATAAAAAAAATACGAATTAATAAATGAATGATGGAATAAATGAATAACACTTTATCAGAGTTTTTTTATTCTTAAATTTATCCCACTTGTAAAAGTGAATGATGCCAGGTACTTACAAAAATCTCTGTGTACAAAAATTCGCTTTTGTCTTCGAAGGAATCGAAGTCTTGTAAGTGGGTCGCGTTATTCACCTCGCATGTGAATGTTCCACCTCCCTGTGGACCGTAGTTGTAAGACACGCAGTTTGGCTCAAGATAGCATCTCAACTCGCAGATATTCTTATCTTGCACTTGGTCTGTCCTAATAACGTGATTTTTTAAGATCTTGTTTTTTGTTCCTT